GACGATCCCAAAGATATTCATATAACGTCGCGTCTTTTATAATATAATATTATATTATTATATAACACTCGCGCGAGAGCTCGTGTGGTATTATTATCACTATTACTACTATTATTATTATTATTATTATTATTATTATGATTACTATTATAAATATTATATTATACGCGAACCGAGCGCTAACGCCTTTTAATGATTATTAATGGACGCTATTGTCTTTCGATGCTCCGCACGCGCTCGCTGCCGAAGCATCAGTGGCAGCACCAGCAACACCATCCCTTGCAACGCGACAGCTTTGTAATATATACATATTATTATAATACCGTTCTGATACCTGTGAGGTCGGTCTGTCGGTCGTCAGTCGTTTTCACGTGGATGACATTCGACGAATACTGATATATTATTATTATATTCCCGGCGCCGCGATCGCGCCACCGTTTCCTTGTGAAAGTGTGTATACACCCTTAAGGCTAAATTCCGTCACGATCGACAACCGCGCAATATATTCATGTATAATAAATTGTATGTCTGTCGGGAGCCGTCCGTCACCACGGCAGTTCACCGAAACGGAAGTAAAAAGTAAAGATCGCTTTAATAACCTCATTTTTTTTTCTCGAATAATATAGAAATAATAGCGCCGAGCCACCGCCCATATTATTATTAAGTAGTATTGTTATTATTTGATACGTGTCATCCGTTGACATCGTATTCGAATAGTTTTCAAGTTGTTTATTTTAACAATATCGATAAATGCAGCAAATAGCAATCTGTTTTAATTAATTTATTTATATTTTAACTGCGTAAAATCACAATTGTGCGTACCTATAAGGTGATCATTTATCAATGATCATATCGTTTATACACATCAGCAACATGTCAGAGTGCGTCTTGAAACCTGTTGATTGTTGAGTATGATCCAGTTTCAGTTTGAAATGTTTAAACAAGTACATTAAAAAATACAAACATTTAGTTAACATAACATCGCAAATAATGTACTATAATGTAATATATACGCATTGATAAATATATATATATTACATATCTATATTAAAACGACACGTTGACGTACGTCTACAATGAGTGAGGACGTAATTTCAATATATCATGTTCAAACGTTTTAATTACTAGCCGAAAATGTATAATTATTATTATTATATAATATAAACAAAGACTCCATAATTATAAAAATAATTAATTTTCATAAAATATATAAAAGTGATATTTAATTGTATGTTGATTTATTAAGTATTAAACGGAGTACCTATCATTCGTCGGACTTTCGAGAAAACGTCGACAATACATAATGGGCAAGAAAAGATATGATAATATAATTAATAATATAGGCGAAACGATCTAAATAATCACTCCAACACCATAAATAAATAAAAAACAAACAGCATTATTGTGTTTAATGTTATTATTATATTTCTGACGAGTTCTTTCACGCGTAATTTATAAATAATGGAAGCGCATTAACATTTTAATGAAATACTGGGAATCGTAGATCAAATAATATTGTGAAATATATATTATATGTATAAAAAATATCAGGAAAGAAAAAAATATATCAAATAGATGTACAGGGAAAAATCGTGTCGTATGCCAATTGGGGTAAAGAGGTTTTGATCAATTTTTTCTACAATATTTTTTTTAATACGGAATAGTACGTGTGTTTATTATTGTTACAACAAAATTAACATTCGAAATAAACGGTGGTTGACAGAATCATTCATGTGCGGTGGACATTTTGCGGCTAATCCACACCAAGCTAATGGAACAAAATACAATTACACGGCGAACGCTCGTCAATCGCCCCGACCGTATAGCCGTCGACGAAGTGGCGTTATGTGTGGAAAAGGTGGTTGGTGGTGTGGTACACACATACAAAATTCGCAAATAAACGATATCTCTTTTCTCTATTTTTTTTTTTTTTTTTTTTTTTTAATTCATTATTTCACGTTAACCAAACATCATTGAATAATCGGAAAACATCATGAATAACGTCATAAATATTTTATCGCGAGGGATTAAACAGATGCATTAAAAACGAAACAGATTTTTTAATAACATCGCAAAGTAATACACGCGTATACTTATGCTTTGCATATTTTAGTGCAGGTTGCCGTTGTACTGTGTGTTTGTCGTTTTTCGTTAATTCCATGCTTTAGATGGCCTACGTTCAATAGAAGACGTGTAGAATTGCGTGTAGGTATTTCAACTGCTTACGTGCAACCGATAACATGCCACTGAGTAAACACAATAAATATCAATCATGGGCCATGGCTCATGAGTGATCGTTCATTTTATATTAATTGTGCGGTTTTTGGCCGAGGGCGTGTGCGTTTTATAACGTTTTGTTCTAAACGGGCGATTAAAACTTAGTTTGAAATAGTATGAAAAAACGCCGAAAACACGAATTTAAACAACCCCGGCCGCGGCGTGTGCAAACATAATACGCGAAGGGGAGCCTACAAAATCACGCAGTGTAAAGAACACAATGTCATCGTTACGAGACCGCCGCTATGACTAATAATATCCCACGCCACCGACGATATACGCATTAGGTTAGTAAACAGTAATAATTTAATAATAATAATAATAATAATAATATAATGATGATAATTAATTGTATACGCAGTATGTCTTGTGCTGTATACGGATGTCGTATATTACCAACATGTGAGTTATTAGCAACAATCGCGTTTAGAATGAAAAAAATATTTTGTATAACAGAATGTAGAGCAGTGGATACGACCAAATTATATTTTGGAAAAGTGCACACGCTTAATACGTCTGATGTTTATTTCCTTTTATCTCGAAAAATACACCATGTACAATAATATCCATTATTATTTTTTTATTGAAGATTTATATTTCATTACTCGAAATATGCCTTTGGTATCTAAATATGGTATACAATCTGTACCTCGGTCGTTAAATCGATAAACATTATATACATCAACAATGGTCACGTGAAATTTAGTATGAAATATAAATAACTAGGCACTTAAATAAATTATAGTAATTGATCGGTAAAAGTTGTTTTCCTGAATCCTTCTATTTAGTTTTAAAAGTAACTTTAAAAATAATTACGATAGTATAATAATATTATCCTCATAACTGATAACATTTTACAAAAACGAATTGATTCATTATCCACACTTCACCGAATTTCACAAACACTCTTTATTATTAAATTATCAACTTTGTGGTTTTGTGAATTAATTTTCTTCAAGTATAAGACTCTGTATTTTTGGATCAATGTGAAATTATTGATATCAAAGATCAATGTATATATTTATGATTTACGCTGTTGATTTGTTTGACAATTTAAATTATATATAAAACAATTTACTTCGGCTTACTAACTTATTAATGATAAATATCAAAAGGCCATAAATATTGTTTGTTTTAATAAAATATTATACAGCTTTTTTAATTTATAAATATTTTGATAAAAATAAATAAATAATTAAAAAATTTCAACACTATTACAATAAGCTACCTATACGATTGCGAATGGACCTTTTCCCGTAACACGATTGTGAACATGTTCACCTACCTTTAATAGTGCGGTGTTGCCAGATTTTGTGTTAGTTAATTACACATTTTTAAATAATAATTTTTAAAATAATTAAATAGTAGGTAGGTATAAGGGTTTTCTGCTTTTACGCTATTAAAACAATTTACATAACCCGATAGCCAAAAAAGATAAATCTAAAATTGAATCAACGTTGAAAAATTATGATGATTATAATTTTTAAAATTCACAAAGATCTAATTTTATATTTAAAAAAAAACTGAAAATTCCTACCTAGGAAAACTTTTTTTTTTAAAAGAAAAAATGTAGAAAAACATTTTAAAAACTATTATTTTTTTATTTTTTTTCAGTTTATACATTATCTAACAGTATTATATTAATAATTATACTCCGAAATTATTTTAATTAATTAATGTTTTAAACACTTCATATTATTTTATTTTAGTTTGTAACGTAAGTAATTATAATGTAACATTGTATTATCAATATCAAATAGTTTTTATTGAAAAAAAATTTTAATTGAATTCCCGAACAAAATAAAATATATTCAGAAATTATAAAATTGGCAGCGTAACCTATAAAAATGTTCAAAATCCTTCGTTTTTCGACTAAAAAAACAAATTTTTTGATAAGCGACATTTGTTCGCAATCGTGTTAACCTATAATATACTCAATTATGTACACAAGTACTTAATATAAATAATGGAAAATGCTAATTTTAATATTAGATGATTTAATCGGTATTTATCGGTATATCTATGCGACTATCCTTTATAAAGTAGTTTTGGTTTCTATTGAATTTTCATTAAGCATTAAATAAAAAATCACAATTGGACTCTACAAAAACCGGCGAAATCGAGTGAAAACATTTCCTATAAAAAAGTTTTCAGCGGGAATTCGCACAATCACGGTGAAGATGTGAAATGTTTTATCACGAACGACCGTTGAAAGTTTACGACCGTGAAAAACTTAAACAACGGATTTTTTCAATAAACTGGAAAGCCAACGGCTAAATTACGATGCTAAAGGAACCTTAAAGTAATTAAATATTATAATATCATATTCAAACGCAATAGTTTTAATTTTCATAATTCTTATTTTTTGGAATAAAGTTCATAAACGTATATACTATAGAAAATATACAACATAATATTAAAACTTATTATGACTTCCATAAATACTATAGTCTATAAACATGTTTTAAATAGCGTTCTTATGACTTTCTTATATTTTATATTACACTTAGATTCTGGTAATAAATAGAAAATCGTGAAAATACGACGTCATTAGCTTAGGCAGGTATTCAATTTTCATAAGTATTGACAATTATTTACATCTTCGTTACAGTATGTTTCATATTTATGATGATGAAGTATAAAAATGGTAAGTAACAGTGTTTTTACGTTATCATGATAACATATTAACTTGACGTATACGTATAGGTACATATTATACTCACAGTCCACGCTGACTTTTATCCGTTTGCTGACCGACGGAGGCACAGAATTTGTGGCGATGCACAGGTAGGCGCCCATGTCCAACCGACTGATCCGATGCAGTTCCAAGGTGGGTTCCTCCCATTCACTCACTTAAATTCATAAAATAAGTTTATAATAAATACGACGGCCGATAAACAAATAAAAACAAAATCGCGGTTTCGGTATAATTAAACAAACAATAATAACAATAAGAATTATCGTACTGAAAACTTATTTTACGGACGAGGCAGTTAGCAAAATGCAGGTGAATTGAATGGTAGGGGTTTGTGTGGAGGTGATCTGTGCGTGTATATATATATATATATATTATATATAGATAACGTTGTCGCGACAAATCTTATACACGCGCGAGTATTATAACTTATATATATATATATATAAATGTCATGGGATAGATATAGGTATAAGCACAGTGGTAATGGTGGCGGTGGGTTTACGCGTGAGGCGAACTTTTGCCGGCCCGCGCGTTTGAAAAGTTTTCGGATTCCTTTGTGTACAACAGGACCGACTGTATATATACACTGTCAATGATTCATTGCTACCAATAAGGATTGTCGCTATTAAAATGTCCTACCACACCACCCCGGATCCGTCCGCGTGTTATTATTGTTGTTCCAATTAAATGGGGCCCGGGAAGCGAATAAGACTGCAAATATTCCGCCTTGTAGTCCCGATCGGCAGCCCTCTCCGCAAAAACATTATTATTATACGTATATTTATATATAATACAACCTGCAGAAGAGCGATAATTATTGTTGTTAACGTTTAATATTTCCATTTGTTTCCGTAGGTATTGTGAGCTGGTGGATGTCGATGAACGGGTGGGGGAAGAGAAATGAGGAGCGCGGAAGAAGACGTGCGCCTAAAACTTTTGACCGCCACCGATGGGACTATCCCCACTGTGGAGTATATATAATAATACGTTTAAGTATAGATACTCAGTGGTTTTGTATACATATTTTATATTTTATAGGTAAACGTAATAATATTATATTCGTATGTGAGTGAATGCAAAATCAATAGTTCTAAAATTATATCTGCAGATAGCTACCATGAAAATTCTATTAAAATTCTTACCGTTCAAGGTTTTGTTGATGTTGATTTGCAAACCATCGTCGCGTTTCCATTTAATATCTGGTTTTGGATAACCATCTACGTGACACGTTAACGACACGTTTGCTCCTTCTCGAACTATTGCATCTGAACTACTCAACGAGTCTGATATCGATGGTGGTACTGTTGATAAAAATAATAACACAATTATTAAAATATTTTAAACAACTATGTGCTTAATTATGATTTTATTTACTACTTTTTTGTTTTCCAAAAATAATAAATACCATTAAACTAACAACGTTATTATAGATCATAATAATAATAATATATAATATAATCTATATAGTATAATAAATTATGCATAAGATATAAATAGTAAATTTGATCACTGATTTTACCACTTCTTGTCAAGTTGAGTGTACACAATGAAATTTAAACATAATTGTTGGTATCATTACACTTATTAACATAACTCTGTTATTACCAATAATATATGTATATAACTGAATAAAAATAAGCGTAACTATGTATTTAAATTTGAATGGATTGAGCTTCGCCTAAAATTCATTTTTGTACACTAATATTTACAGAGGAGTGGAAGGCAAAATATTAAATATTTTATTATAAGTATTAAACAATAAAATAATCCAATAACAATTTTAACTATACAATTTATTTAATAAGAAAATACTTTTACAACTATAAGCAAGTGCAAAAGAATTATACTCTATAGCTTAAATATTAAAATCTATGTTATTTTTTTTTATATATACTGGTACTGTAATAGTTATATTTTAATAATACTAAATAATAGTTAATTATAATATGAAATCTCAAGTTCTTTTTTCCTCTAGCAAAGATATTTTCTATAATCAACTTGATAATTTTATACATATGAATATGAAGCAATATTCAATAAACTAACCATTCTTTGCTTATTTTTATTTTATCCAAGTTTTAATCTTTGTTTAAAAATACGAAACAATACTTATTAAAATAATAATAATAATTATGACATGATCCACAAAAGTAGTACAAGTAAATAAGCTTCATTAAAATATTTATAATCCAAAACATAAGATAATATCAAAGATAGTAAATGGAATCGTATGTTGGGTTATTTACGATGTAACCACAACTTCTAGTATTCATTAGTTCAAATAAAAAAAAATATAGATATTAACATTTATAATTATTATATTGTTGGCACGTTTAAATGATTCTCAACTCTCAAAAGTACTTCTAAGGTGTATTTATAAAATATAAACCTTTGATAGATATGAATTTATATAATAAAGTTATTTACCTTAACAACAAAACATGATTTCCATGAAATCAAGCTCTATATTTTTTTTATTCGGGATACAGTTTGGTAACATAATAATATACTGTTAGTGATGGAAAAAAAAAATCAAAAAAAGCTCTATTGATGAAAATAAAATCCGAAAAATTCTTGGAATGGTCTAACACTCTTACAGTGTTCAATAAATCAAACTGGATATTTTATACTTAAATAAAATTTCGCAAATATAAAGTTTTGCTGTCGGTAGCACAAAGGTAAGAAAATCTTTGCCAGTGAAAATTAAGTTTAACAAAGTCTGAAGGTAATCTAACGCTGATTAATAAGTTAAAAATTTTTTTTTTGATATAATATGTCAAATTCGTCAGTTATGATTTTGCTACTAACTTCAAGTCAACGATTCAATTGTCGAATTTGATAAGTGATTATATTAACGAAAAATGTGTAATTTTTAACTTCGAAAAATCAAAAAAAAGTTTTACATTAAACATTCTTGATGTCCATATTATCATCTTTTCCCACAGGTACACTATAAGTTATGTATATACTACACTATTGTTTACGAATTCTAATAAATCCTCTTGATATTATTCGATTTAATTATTTACAATTACTTATTGATTATAAAGTTTAATACATCAAAAAAATAATGTTACTTGTTATACGCAAATTTTACATATAATAGAAATTAACATGAAACTATATTATTATATTTAACAACAGTTTAATGAAAAATAGTTATGAATCATAACAATACAATAAAACGCTAAGTTGAGATATCCATTCTATATGTAACACATAAGTACCTTTATTTACAATATACATATTTAAATTATTAACATATATTTATATATGATTTATAATACTTAATAACTGAAAAACCAATTACATAATGTAGATTTCATTGACATATAAAATTCAAATTATAAAGTTTAATGTAATCCGTACCTAGGTAAACCCTAATTTATGAATACTCAATTTGCTCTGCAACAAACAAAGCTTAAATATTTTATTATTAATAATATTATGTGTTTTATACGTAATAAGACAAGTATGATATTTTTGGAAAACCGTCATATAGATAAAAAAAACACTTTTATATAGGCAGCAATGTCATTAATTTTTGATTGCAGTATGTTAAATTACGAACAATTCGAAGTAAAACAAATCCAATGATATATTTTTATAAACGATGAACACACGACTATGTGTATAAATATTATGATATTATCATTAGTATAATTAATTGTATATAGTGAATAAATATATAGTATATGATACTTTTTTATAACCAAACTTGATCCATGAAAAAATGTGAACGTGGCTTAAACTACTATCGATGCATATAAGGATTAAACAACGACGCTACGAACATTTCCGGAGTCTCGAAGAATATATTAGTTTAGTATTTTCTAAGTCTATTAGACCCATACGAACTTCATTAACTTATAGATTATGTATAAATAGATAATATATAATAAAATAAACATATCGCTTCATCGTATAACATATACAATGTTTACTACAGTTACTATAACCACTAACATACTACCTACATATTACGGATGGTATATATTCTGAAGCTAGCACAAATTTAATAAAATGTATACAGCATTAGTGTTTACCACAATGTGAAAAACTGTATATACGTGATAATAACAAAGTCACACATGATACACAATAAGCCTTTTAGCTATTCAATTAAAAAGGTTTCTTTCTTTTTTTTTTTTTTTTTATGGTTAACGCATTTTAAGCAATTTAATAAACGCGTGCATTTCGTGTCCCTTATGAAAACATTATTGTGAACTGTATCATAAAAATTATTTAATTCGAAAAATTAGTGATGTTTTAATTTTATTTACTTTAAACTCCGAATAAGGTCTCGTTATGCGTTTTTAGTGGTAGTGTACAATATATATATATATATACCAGTTTTAGTAATGAACAAATTTTCTTTCAACATACTAAAAAAATAGTAAACTTATGATAACACTTTAAATGTCACATATTATGAAATTAAAAATTAAATTATTGCGTAAATAACTACGTTTATTTAATTGTTACCGAATAAAAATGTATTGACTAGTGGCAATTGGTGGAAGTTTCCATGTTCAAAAAAGTTATTATTAATTATTTTAATATAGGTAGGTACAGATCTTTCCAGCTACAGTAGAACTCCTCCCATCCGCCCTCGGCTGGTCCACCGCTCCGGTTGATCCAACTATAGTATAATCGATATGAATACTATGTAATTTAATTATTTAATATAATTAGTACTCCGACCTCTCTCGTTTCGTTTCTATCGGTGTCCGTATTTTGGAATATTGCAATTAAGTCTAGAATGTCATTTGCTAAACAAAAATTTATAACTGACTTTTTTTCTAAGTAATGTAAAATATAATACATTTCTGATATAATCTTGTATGTAATATGTAAATAAAAAAATGTTCTGTATATTCTGATAATTCGACCTTTTTCGCGTTCCGACCACACTCCCAGTCCCAAAGGTGACGGATTAGAAAGGTTCTACTGTAAATACATTTTTCTATAATAATATGCGAGTGCGCTGATATTACTACGCTGCATCAGTACACAATGCACGGACAGGTGGTACTCGTAAATATTACATATTATGTTATAGAGCTGGTATTGAGACAAAATATGTCGTTAGGAAAATAATTAATATTACATATCGGCAGTGTAAGCACCGCTGGCAATAAAGATTAGCGATGTGTCATATATATTCTCTTTCTTTTTTTCCCCCTTTTCAAAGGTCAGAAACCGTATAGAGAGACGTGTGCACAGCATTCCGATAAGACGTGTGTACACACACACACATACATACAAACACATCCACACATGTACACACAAATATCTATACACACATATGCCAGATGGCGAGAAGTAGCTTAGGGGGCAGTGGCAGTGACGGCGTCGGCGACGGTGGTTACCTCTCTACATACACTGCCAGCCTTAATGCAAAACGTGCCTCACTTACTAATCTATTTTTTATTCCCCCTTTATCGTTCTTTATTACTGGCCTCTGGACTTTTACACGTCGACCGCCGACCTACGCTGCTCCTTTCCACTAAATGTGTATGAAATAAAATGAAAAAAGACCAAAAAATCGTTTCGCAATATTGCCGTGTTTTGGTATCTCATATGTGTTTTCCCACGGCAAAAATCTACCGGAGAGCTTTGTAAGAAAAATATAATATGCCAGAGAGAGAAGAAGAAAATCACTATAATAGTCTCAGACACAGATGAACTGCGTAATGGTCAAAAACCATATTACTTTTATCTTGGAGTTTTCTTTTGACAACAACGGTCTTTTGAAAATTTAGAAAATCACATAAATGTATACGAAATGTATCTCAACATACGCAATAATGTTGTACAGAACTAAACTTCTATTAAATTATATATTTTTCAGACTTTTATGTTACTTTGTATTTTTTTCTCTGATAGTTTTAAATTTTACAAAATAAAATTTTTGTGAAAACCTGGGAAAATAATATATATATATAAACATATTAATATTTATATTTTGGCCATATAAAAAAATAATACTGCAGTAAGTTAGTAGAGACTACAATGTATTTTTATATAAACTGGAATATTATGAAACGATGTTAAATTCAATTAATGAAATTATAAAATTAAACTCTATATAATTTTACATATTCTGTACGAGCATTTAAAATAAATATAATATAAAATGTTATAAGCCACTAGTTGATGATAAATATTAAGTAAGACGTTAGACAATATATGATAAATAAGTATACTAATTTCTTATTAATAGGTATTATACATAATAGTGACGAATCGATAATAATTATTAACTAATAAACAAAATTTGAACAATTAAAGAGAGATT